GGGGTGGCAACATGGTACTTAAACTGGATATCAAAAAGGTCTATGATACTACTAGTTGGGACTTCATCTTAAATGTTCTCAAGGCCCGCGGCTTTCGGGATAATTTTTGCTTGCTTAAATGTAGATGGTTGGAGAACAATTTTTACTCTGTGCTGGTGAATGGAGTTTCCTATGGTTTCTTCTCTGCTTTTAGGGGAATTAAGCAAGGGGACTCTTTATCCCCTACTATTTTCATTTTAACTTTTGATTATTTCTCCTAGTTAATTAATCAATTGCAGATGGAGAATACTCACTCAATTTTCTCATAAATCCTCCATTTTGATTAGCCACTTGGCCTACGCTGACGATGCAATCATTTTCAATAATGCAAGCAAATCAGCTATTAAAGCTCTTATCAGGGCCCTTGATACTTTTCAAGATGCTTCTTGTCTTTCCTTTAGTAAAGATAATTGCAACTTGTATTTTGGGAAGCATGCTAAAAACCCCTTGATTAAGTGGAGTACCGACTATACTAGTTTTCGTGTGGCCTCTTTGCCCCTTAAGTACTTGGGGGTCAACTTGATTAGGGGTCGTCGCAAGTAAGTTCAGTTGTGGTTAAAATCAAACACAAAATTACTGATTGGATGAACATTTTTTTATCTAATGGGGGTCGCATCAACCTTCTTATAAATGTTATTTTGAGTATTCCATTAAATGCTCTCCAAATTCTTAATATTAAGAAAAGTACTCAGTTGGTGTTGGAAAAATTATTTAACCAATTTCTTTGGTCGGGGACTCACACTACTAAACATTGGGCCGTGTTTTCCAAGGTTTCTAAGCCACTCTTTGTCGGGGGTCTTGGTGTTAAGTGAAGCATATTTCTAAAATTAGCATGTGCAAGTTATCGTTTAAATTCTGTATCAATACTTTGTTGTGGGCTAGGTTCCTTCACCATAAATATTGCAAAACTTCTAATCCTTCTACTGTTCAGTGGAAGTTGGGGTACTCCAGGATTTGGAAAGCCATTCTTCAAGCTAGATCGGTTGCTAGTAGATTCATTTTTTAGACATTAGTGAAGGTAAGATTTCCTTTTGGCATGATCAGTGGGGCTTGGGGGATCAATTTGATTATGCTCACACCACTCAAAATGATAATTTATGTATTTTTGATGTTTGGATTGAGGAGAATTGGGATGTCAATAAGTTGATGTCTCTGGCTGGTGATATAATTGCTCATGTTATCAAGATCCCTATAAAGAAGACGGCAAAAGACAACCCGCTTTGGAAAAACTCCAGTAATATGTCTCCTTCTAAAATGCTCTATTCGAATCTTTACAGCTTTGATAAATGGCATTGGGAGAGAGTTATTTGGAATAATTTCCTTACTCCTTCAATCTCCTTTTTCCTTTGGAGATTTTTTTTCCAACCTTCTTCCTATTGACAATATTCTAAAGCTTAAAGGGCTTAGATTGGCTTCTCAATGCCAATTATGTAAACTGAAGGAGGAGTCTACTGCTCATTTATTTTTTCAATGTTCCTATGTTAAACAAGTTTGGTTTGCTCTGGGACAACATTTTCGGGTTAAATGGGGTGAAGGCAATGATATTAATGATTTTCTCTTTAGTTGGAAGGTGGCTGAAATTATGAATCCGAAATTGGTTACTTTCCCTTTCTTGGTGCTGTGGTTTATTTGGGTGGCCAAAAATAATAAAAAATATAATGGTTTGGATTTGGTCTTCGGTCTCTCACGTTCTCACATATTTTTCTCGTGCTTCCCGTCTTTTGGGTTTACATGATGTTTTGCCCCAATCCAGGATGGTTAGGATGGCTACTATGTTTAGGTGGCAACCACCTCCTCTGGGTTGGGTTAAAGTTAACTGTGATGGTAGTTGGTAGTTGGGATCTTATGGTAGTTGGGATCCCACGGCAGCGGGTGCAGGTGGGGTTTTTTGGGACCACCTTGAGAGGTGTCTTATTTACTTTGCTTCTCTAATTGTGGCTTCCACTGCTTTGGAAGCCAAATTCTGGGGTTTGTTTTTGTCTCTTCAGGTGGTTGTCTCTTGTAACTTCTCTCAACTGTTGGTGGAGACGGATTCACTTATGATATTAAAATATTTTGACTCTACTATCATACCTAAGTAGAATATTTTGGGTATTTGGAATCGAATTCATGCGATTATGGATCATCATAATTTAAATATTCGCATGTTTCATACGTTTTGGGAAGGTAATTCCCCCTGCGGATTGGTTAGCGAAGACTGCTAAACTTCAGGGTAACATTATAGTTAATGCTTCTCTCCCATATCAGTTAAAGAGCCTTTTAAAGGGAGATTCTACGGATTTGCCTTTCGTCAGGAGGTTTAATGGCTGAAGGTGTTTGATGTTGAATTTTTTTAATAACGTTATTTTCTTACTAGAGGTTGGAGATTCAGATGGCTGGTTTTTTTTCGATTTTGTCTTTGGTTTTTTTTGCCACTGTTTTAATATGTTTCATACTCAGTTTAGGTGGATGAGATATGAGATGCTTTTCTATGCCTCCTCCTTTGATTATATAAGGGTGCAGGCTATGCTTTGCTATACTAAGTATGAGGTTATATGCCTCTTTGGTGGCTCCAATCGGTGCTTCTTTTATGTGAATTTTGGGTGGCTTGTTCTCATTTTTGGCTTCCCTTATATGGCTGGTTGGGTTTGGAGGCCGTGCGTTACTGTTACCTGGGGTCGAACTGGGCCGCAGATTTCTCCTTCGCAGTTTAACGTTAACTCAATCACTCCTTTTCAATTGTTCAGTAGGGGGTTGTGCCGGTTTTTAGGAGGAGCCATTGGAATTTTATTTCAGGCATCTCGGTTTGCTCTTTATATAGAGTGTCGTGTTCTTTTATCCATAGAGTTATTGGGGGGAGGTTTCTACTTCACTTCGCTACCCGGGGTTTGATTTGGGAGAACTTTCTGCTTCTACCTTTCTCTGTTTTGCATAACTTGGGATGGTGTGGACTTAGCCGGTTTCTCCAAATTTGGGACATTTCCATCTGTTACAACTGCATATATCCGTTTATTTTTTTTTGGATATTTACTTATGTTTTAATCTTGTTTATCTGGACTTATTGGTTTTGGAGCCTATAGCTTGGATTTACAGGGTGGACACTTCGGCTTCTGTTACGTTTACCGATTTCGACCTGCTCACTGCTAATTCTATCTGGTCCTTTCGTGCCAAAATCAGAAGGGTTGACGTCCTCTTATTTGGCTTCTTAGTCTTCAGGTTGATTTGGTGGTATACTTTTTGGTTTAATATAATTTTTTGGGGGTTACTTGTAATTTTTGGGGTATACGATACCTTATGTGTCTTTAGTTTTTTTGGGTGGGGTTGTACTATGTAATTGGAGCCCCTAGGATATTCTTGTATTTTCTTTTGGGTTTTAGTTGGGGTTCCTTTTTCCCTTCCAATTTGTATTTTTTCTTATTTTAACACGTAGGGAGCCAATATCTTTTTTAATATATATATATATATATATATATTCCATTTTTTATATATACATACAAGCATACAAACATACAAACATACATCTACTGATTTCATTTCACAACCAATAGAACAAAGAATGCTCCCATAGTATACATTAAAAAAAAAATAATAATTTGCACAACTAGTTTAATGTAATCCATAAAATAAGACTAGGCCAGCTCACCAACACCACAACCGAAAAAGTGATCAATGCTCACATGAAAAGACAATATTTCAAGAGTAGAAACAAAACATGGATCTATAATATCCAGATGCATACACAATTTGTTCAATAACACAAGCAACATACCATAATCGCCCACCAACACCATAACCAAAAAAATTAATTGATGTTCTCTCGGAAGAAAATCGTTTCAAGGGCAGATAAAAAAGTTTGAATCCATAATATCCAAATATAAACACAATTTGTTAAATATAGCACAAAAAATCAAACCGGACATACCCACCAACACCACAAACAAAAAACAATTGATGCTCTCATGGAAGAATGACACTTCATAACAGAAATAAAGCATGGATCCATAATATCCAAGTATATACATAATTTGTTTAATATAATATAAGAAATCATACCAACAAATCAACCAAAACCTAAATCCTAAACAATAATTGATGCTCTCAATGAAGAACGATATTTCGAGAATAGAACAAAACATCGATCTAGGGTTGTAAATGAGCCGAGCTCAAGCGAGCTCAGGCTTGGCTCGTGTTCGTCTAGTTCAAAACTACTCGTGTTCGAAACCGACTCGTGAACAATGTGTTCGTGTTCGGCTCGAAATTGGCTCGTTAAAATTAAATTGAATAAAATAGATGTAAAGTTGTGGATTCGAACCTGGACCAAATATATGAAAAATAAGACACTAACCACATTACCAAACTAGATGTTACAATATAAATATAGACATAAATATATATAATATATTATTATATAAATAATATATGTAATAAATTATTATCTAAATAATTATCAGTCTAAACCCTGATATTTCAATGCCATTTCCTGATAATTTCACGATATCCTGATAATTTCACATAATAGGCAGCACCGTCTTTTTTAACTTGGCACCATGGAATCTAAACACGGCGCTTCCCCTCAAGTTTGTAAATCAACGTTTCACATACGCAAATTTTCAAAGCTCAATGAAAATGTCTGATGATAGTGCTTTTAAAAACAAAAGAAATATTTTAAAAACTACGCCCAAACGGAACCCTATGTCTAATGAGCGAGCTCTACGTTTCCTTGTGAGAAAGTCACCCTCAATACTAATCAAATAGGTATAATCAAATATAATTTATAAAAAATTACATTAGTTACAAAATTTCACATGAGCTGAAATTTAAGCGCAGCACAAAATTCTTATTAATAGTTTTATAAATATTTTTTTGACAAAAATATTAAATTAAAATTATCTTCTTCATCATAGCCCCTATATAT